GCTTGACGCTTTTTTTTTCGGGCCACCCTTGTGCTTAGACATTATAATTGATTACTTCCATTGAGTTGGAAAGCACCAGGTAGTGAGATAGTATGAAGATGTTTAATAACAATAGAGTGAGATTTGTTCCTCCGAGTTTTATAACAGTTGGGGAGATGCCACCTGGGCCTGGAGGGGTTGATGGTTTTATGGATGCGACGGCACTTTGCACCTATCTTAACGTTCCATGGATATTGCAGTATAGCTCCGTCGTTCTTTTTGGAAATGGAGGATGAAAATGCTGTGTTGGGAACAAAACAGGAGGCGAAACCGGAGTTGATAGCCTCGCATATGCAAGAGAAGTAGCGCGTTATTGAACCATCGTCTAGAGCCAACGTTTCAATTCCCTGATGGGGTTAAGAGTTCCTTCTTTTGAGTAGTTGCATCAATGTACGAACCTTCTCAGGATTTCTAAGTATCCGATTTTCTTCTTTGATTTTGGCCGTTTGGGTTAGATGTAATATAAGTAGCAGATTCTCGTGTATTTGTAGCAATGTTGCGAAGCTGTTGTTCCTGCGATATAGCGATTTAAGTTTCTTTAGTTTGGTTTTGGCGTTGTACAGAAGCTTGTGTTCACCACTATGTTCATGGGTATTTCCCCATACAGTAGATGCCAGTAGATCCACACCAAGGGTAATATTGTTAATAAACTCATTTGTAGCCACAGTAGGGTTGTGAGTTAGGAATGACGTATTCCATTTCATGGCACTGAGAAGTTCATTAAATGAGTTCCAGTAGACACGATAGAGGTTGCGAATGGGTTTTAGCATTTTACTTGGTTGTTTAGGTGAATCAATAGTTATGTCACAAAGCACCGTGTTGTGATCACATCCAGGTAGTGGATTATCAATGAATATATAAGCGTAAGAGATTCCCATCCTGATTACAAGGTCTAAAGTAGTAGCACTTCTGGTTGGCTCTCTAACATGCTGGGTCCAGCCATTGAGGTACATGAGATGATTTCCTCAAACCCCGCAGTCTCTGAGTGTAAACAGCATTCAGTTAACATGTGGTAGGTAGAAATCTCCACACATAATTTTGGATTTGTGTGCGATGTTGGAAGCAGCATTGATCATATCGATTAGTTTTTGGTTTTTACATTGAGTGGTTTGGGGCGGCAGATAGATACAACCCACTAGAAAATCACTAGACGGGAACAATAGCGGAGCGTCAGCTGTTTCTTAGTAGCACTGCATTTAGACACAGTAAGCGCCAAAGTGCCACTTGGGGTCCTCCTGTAGCTGGCCAGTGATGGACCTAAATTGATCACATTGCCACAAGTTACAGGTGGCGTGGTTCCATCCTAGATTGCAAAACGTACTGGAATAACTGCGTCGACTCCGATCATGCCTCTGTATGCTGTCGTTTCTCCAGGAACTTTATCGGGAGACGTACTGGGTATCTCACTAGATTGGCAATTGATAACTTACTTCAGCCATCGAGCAGGTAACCCTATCAAGACGCACTGAGTACCGAACTTTCGATCTCTTGTCCTAATAAAACTGCGCTTCAATGGAATAGGATCTCGGCCGCCACGCACAACACAGGAGCATCTGATTGTGGCACTATCAATCGTCACCGCACCAGTCTCTGGATATCCGAGAAGTCGGTGAACCTGTTGGAATCTAGAAGAAACTTCTCGACTGGCTCTGACCACAATGTGACCTGAGGGACTATTAGGCGTGAACTAAAGAGGAGCCTGCGTGCTGACAGGGAAGCCTGGCGGAGCAGTCTGGCTTAACAAATGGAGGAGCAGGAGCGGTAGGCAATTTCCGCAAGCTCTTCAAGCTGATCCGCAACGCCGGTCCAGGAAACCAGGCGTCAGTGACACAATCAGAGACAGAGATGGTGCAGTGATATATAATAAGAGACACCGTATGGCTCACTGAGCGGAACACTTGCAAGATCAATTCAGTTGGCCCCCCGGACCCCTACTCAAGTGATGCAGGATGAGCCATGGACGAGTAGTTTAGAGCCTCCATCGGACGCCGAGGTCCGAAACACGATCACATCCCTCAATCGTTTTTGTGCCGCTGGCTCGAATTTCATCCCACCTGCACTATTTAAGGATGGAGGTGAGGTCCTCTGCAAAACACTGACCTCCTTACTCGAACGTATCTGGAAGGATGACAGTGTCCAGTCAACTGGATTTAATCGCTACTAGTGGTAATACACAAGAGGGACAGTCGTACAGACTGTGCTAACCACAGGGGATATTAGCCTAACGCCAGTTGTGACAAAATTACTGGCCTCGCATCTCCTTCGTCAACACACTGCGGAACGGGAATCTGGGATTACGGAAGAGTAGGCAAGTTTCCACCCAGGAAGTGGCTGCGTTGACCATATATGCACTCTGCAGTACGTGCTAAAACAGCGCCACGCATACCACAAACCGAAAATAGCTGTATTATTTGACTTCAAGAGGGTGTTTGATTCAGTAGATCGATGCATTCTGTTCGAAATAGTTGCGCGGGAAGGTGGTCGCAAGAAATATATGGACAGCTTACATGGTCTATACTCGAACACTACAGGTCGCGTCAGGGTATACGGTGACCTCTCAGATAGCTTTCCGACAACAAGTAGCGTTCGTTGGGATTGTCCAATTTCTCCGTTTTCCATCAATTTTGTCGTGGACTCCTCCATGGAGTGTTCCCTTACGGAATCTCCCGAAATAGGCGTTAAGGTCCTGCCTGGTGAAAGGCTATTTGATCTTGGTTATGCGAATGATATTCTTGCTATTTAACGATCTTGTGGAGTCGCAAATCAACACTGAAAAACCTCTCTAGAGTGGTCCTATCATTTGGTATGTACTTCACACTTTCAAACGCAACGTGTCGTCAGAGAACCATCAGCCATTTGAGGACCCCTTGAGCCTTGACAACGAGGAACTCGATGTAGTTGATCGATGAACTCACATCGGCAACTGCTTCAGCAACAATGGGCACATAGGAATTGAGGTCAGTTCACGCATTAGAAAAGCCGGAACTGCCATTTTGTACCTGCGGCATCTTTGGCAACAGTAGGGTTTTCCACCGTCTGAAAGACCGTGTTCATAAGGCCACAGTAAGGGCCGTCCTACTCTACGGCTGCTTCGGTCTGAATAGCTGAGGAGCCTTTAAGTCTTCGATCACCGTTGTCTGCGGAGCAATGCTGGTGTCTGGTGGCAACAGCGTGTCCGCAACGATGATGTGCGCAGGCGAGTACGAGGCAGTGATAACCAAGCTAGTTCCCTAGAACAACAGATATCACTGAATATGTTGCGCTGGCGTTGGCAGGTACTACGTACGCCTGGTCACCGCTTACCTAGGAGGCATATGTTTAGTCTACCAGATGTAGGATGGCGCAAGGCTCGAGGTGGAAAAAAGATGAGTTGGTAGAGTGAAATGAAATCGCTGAGTATCAAAATGGGTGCTGTCGGTCTGTCTGGCCTTCCGGACAGGAATCCACGTGACCGGCTTTGTGCTTGGCTTGAGATTTCACAGTTCTTGGCTGGCAGTCGACACCAGTGGCGCGTCTGCTGCCATCGTCTAGTCGGAATGCCTGTTTATGGTGTGTTTGGTGAGGAGTTATCTGCGGGGTAATGGCTGATTATGACGCGGGGCAGTGAAAGCCGCAGAGAGGCTGCAACGCCGATGCCGCCTTATCTTCGCACCATAGCCAGCTGTTTGTGGCAGTATGTTGTTAACACAATGTGCAGGCGCCTTGAGCCTGAATGTCTGCTTAGGGCATTACGGTTTTCCAATAAGTCCCACTTGCCTCCCACTTATTATTCTTTATTTCATAGGTCATCTTGGTTGTGTGGCAGCGAAGCATCAGTTCAAACGGCATCAGAAACCTGCTGATTCGGATTCGTGGAGGAATCCCGGCAACTGCCCGAAAATTTACAATACGGAGATTTGTTTCTCCATCGTCCGTGCGTCGCTTTAGTTCAATCATCGCAGAATTGAGATTTTCTCTGTCTGCTGGATCTAAGTCACGCGCACGTGAATCTTTAGACCTTTCAGCCTATTAAGGCGGGACAATATTAACTTTCGACTTGCTCTCTTTGACAAAAGTCACGCTCATAGGTCGACTCTTTCCGAGACAAAAGGTGATTTGTCCTCCTTGTCACCTATCAACCTTTGGCGAAGTTCGGAGATGAGGATCCCCTTGTAACAGTAACTGATCACTAAAAAGCTTCGAATGCAAACAGTTTAGGTGAAGCGAGCTGTGATTTGGATCAGAAGAACCTCACTCAAAGGAAACTACGAATTGAGCGAATACTGATAAAGAGAAGTTATTGACAATAGATGAAAATGAATCGCAGGATCCTAAGAAGACGTTACTAGGGGTAATCAGACGATTCGCTTCGTTTCCATTTTGTTTATTTCTTATAAGGCCATAAAAATGAAACTAAAAGCGATGCGCAAAAATGTTATACGAGCACACTCTCCGTTTCTGTCCGGCTTCAACATGAACATACGAAATCAAAAACCCCACGCCAGCTAATTCCTCTCAGTTAAGCAGACAGGACCCACCGTGCTTACTGTTTTTCCTATTCGCTCTATAAGCTAATCCAGAAAAGTTAACATAAATAGCAGTTGGGAAGCCAGGCTGATTGCATATGGTATTTACTCTGAGCTCCTTGTGTCGTTATCATGCATTTGAATAAGCTAGCACACAAATAAACTACAGGGCTTGATGGCGCCGGTCTCAAAACTAGTCTCTAAAAGAGTCTGCAGCCAAAAAACATTAGGTTGTAAAAGTTGTCGGGCAGAATTAAGAAATGTAGCGGGGAATGTACTGCAAAATGGTCAAGTTTCGATCGTCCTACGCTTCCCTGATAAACCTGCGTTGCGAAACGTAAACTGTGTAAAGCAATGAGAATAACACAAACGGAGCTAGCATTAGAAACAGCAGTTGGCAAACAAGTGAGAATATTAGCGACCGAAAAACAGTTAGAAGGCGCATATAAGTCTTACCAAAGTTTGCATGGCCTCATAGGGATACACACGTAGCAACCGGTTCATCAAAGGAATAAGGTATGCCAAAGTTTTCCCAGATCCGGTTTGCGCAGCCGCCATAAGATCGTACTTGCCAACCACACGTTGAAGTGTGGATCCACCATCCGGCACATCAACGATCTCGTCTATGCTTATAATGCCAATCGCATGACGCTGTACCGGAGTCAACTGATCAAAGCCAAGACGAGACAAGTTGTCGTGCAAGCGATCATCCAGCAGAGGGACTTCTGAGACCTGAACATGAGTACATAGAAGGCGAGAAAAATCTCAGGGACAGATAGTATGATAGCTATAATGAGAAGTACTCAAAACGATCAGTCAAAAGAAGTACATGACTAAGAGCACCACTGAGAAAAAAACACAAAAGAGAGAGCGCGGTGGTTAGAAACAGTTGTGCATGATGGTACTCCATCGTAAGGAGAATGGAACTTAACGTGGTGCGATGGTATGTGTACCCCCGTGACCCATTGAGTTACGCTGGGTGGCACTTTCCAAGTGCCTTCAGAGTCACTCATACCAGACAGGTCAATGGTTAGGGGTTAGACTAGCTCAGCTTCATAATCCAATCCTCTTCAGAGGCAGAGGAGAGATGGATGGCCTTCTTCCTTTAAGACTTATTTTTATTTATTTATTTTATTTTATACACGTTAGCTGCAGGTGGAAAACACCTCAGCTATTGTGCCGCAATACCAAAGACAAGAAGAAAAAGGCAACAGTGGCACGCCGGCTGTATCAACAGTAACAGATGGACATCGTTCCGGAGAGCTAATAGCCGGCTATCGTGCTGCAAAATGAGTTATATTATGCCTAACGAATGCGAT